ATAACCCTGATTGATCCATAAGAGTTCATTGTCTTCCATGGTTGAAGCATGTAACCTCAGAAGTAGTTACAATGCACAAGGGATTAGGGAGAAGCGTCAGATGGATTAGTTGTAATCCAATTTCATGAGCCTTACCATGACATTGTGAATCAATTAAGATTTTAGTATGTATAACAACATCTGTAGTACCTAAAATTAGGAGCATACATTAAGATTGATGAAACATTAGTAATGATTGTCTATTTATTCAGCAATTAACAACATGCTGAATCAGTTTTGCAAAATACCTGTGCGTGTTGTCGTTCAACATCACATTCCTGCCATTAAATTACTTGCTTTACCAGAAACAAAGAAGTGATGGTCGGTGAAGTAGCCTGTCATCCAACTCGTACCTCTACTTGCTTTACGATGGCACTCTCTGATGAAAGCTAGAAATAAATATGTAAATTGAATCCATATGTTACCTGTGATGCTTTGTGAATTCATATGTTGGATCTCCAACTATGGTGATATCTTGAAATTAATATAGCACATTTGTTGTTTCTATGGTTTGGCTTTAATAGACCGGTGTCTTGCTGAATACAGAAAATTATAAAACTTTGTTGGTTTTATGGCTTATGTCCATCCTTTTCGGTTAATTAGGAACCCTTGCATTTGTAGGGTCGTTTCCTGATCATTCTTTACATTATACTATTCTTGAATCAGAGTGTAAGTTTTGCTATGCCACTTTGTCATGCTGAAGTGGAACAAGCTACTGAGGATGACTTGGTTGAACTTATGGAAATTGAGAAGCGAAACTTGGGCCAGGTTTCAATATAGCTTCTCCTTTATTTGGCTTCATAGGGTATTTCTATCTAAATTTTCACACATTATTTTGCTAATATATGCTTCACCTATGCAGGCGTTCCATTTGGAATCTTTGTCCGATGTGGACAACACTCCTCAATCCGTCCTCTCGTTTAGTGGAAATAAGCAAGTGCATGCCTTGTATGATTTCTTGTTAAATTATAGGTATAGGAGATAATAATAAACCTTCAAGGTTTTACAATTGCAGAATTTGTTTTAATGCAACTTTTTCTTGATTCCTATTTCTCATTTACTTTTTTTTTTACTTACCACTTGCTGTTCAGGTTTTTTCTGAATTCCTTTAATGGTTGTGATATTCCTGTGTTACATGCACCTGTCCCTTTCCTGAATGCCTCTTTCCATGTTCCGGAGGTGAGTGCATGTAATTACGGTTAAGAGAGCAATATAGATAGTAGAATGTGCTGTTGCTACGTCTCCAGATCCAAAAGGCTTACTGGTTAAACTTTTTAGGTGAGATGCAAGGAGATTAGGAAAGCTGATATGGTCATTCCTTCTTCATGTGGGTCAGATACTGAAGATTTTGAAACCATTTCTGGTTCATCTGCTAGAGGTATTTGTTACAGCATCGAAATAAAAGATACAGTTCTTCCACCATGGATTGTTTGTGGTATCTGTGCAGCAATGAGCTCTGATGGGAGGAGTTTCGAGTCCACGTATGTTAAGAATCCCATAACATGACCTTTTTCTGGCTACATTGTTCTACTTGATACTCTTAGCAACATTTGTGCTATATGCTGCTGTAATTTCTATAAAACAAGGATTTAAATTTTGGTGGTTTTCTGCAGCTTTACCACTGAACCTATGTCAGCTGGCTTAAATGTGGCCCTCAACTGTTTATGCTGCGACAATGATGTGCCCAAGCAGTCGATTAACACCTCAGTGGATACTGATGATGCATTAGGCATTCCTGATGCTGTTTTGATCCCTCGTCTGAGTGGAGCATCGCTAAGGCGTCTCAAATACACTGATGGTGCTTTTATTGCTAACATCACACCAACATGATCATTGGCAATTGCATGTATTTGCTGTACATGATCAATGTTGTCGCTAAAGCGGCTTGTATTCCCCAGTGAACTTGCTTAGTTTTTGGAGAGCCCACATGTTTGTGGCTCGTGGTAGAAATTGTGAAGCGGCTAGCTGTCTCACCTAGAGTAGCTTTTTGATGATCCATTATGTTGGAAATTTTATGCTGGACTCCTCTCTCTTGCTGCATGTATCTGCCGCTTGGATCT